TCTTGATGATTTGAAGGGTGGTCACTTTAAACACCACCGAGTTCCGTTTTCTGAGGTTCTGGGCAGCACGGAATGTCAAAAACAGTGGAAAGCAGATGGTCTTGGCAGGCTCCTCCTGGACGAGAAGGTTACTCTTCCGAACCAATATCTTCTCTTATCAACGAAATTATTAGTTAAAATCTTATATGTAGCCATTCTCAATTTAACTACTCCCGAAACAGAAATTAGGGTTACTGACTCAGAGATAGCATCCATAAAAGAGATTACAGATGGAGTGAACAACATAAACTTCGTGGTGATACTCAGAAACTCAGATTCAGGTTTCCAACACGAAGAAACCATTGTTCTTCTAATTCAATCTCGCTAAGGTACACATTTTTTTGGCTATGGAAATCGTCGTCTAAGATTGATGTTTCTGAACTTCATGATATGTTTCTATCGAGGATACAATTGTCTGTGAAAATCTGGGTTACTCTTATCCACTAAAAAAACTCAAATTATGCCTGCAAATTTATGTGCTTTAGTTCTGTCATGCCAAAGGTTTTAGCTTTGTTTGTGTAGTTATTATTTATGTTCTAGCTTCTGTTATCGGATATTGACAAAGATTGATGTAACTTGGTTTGTTTCAGAGGGTATATGCATCAATACGATCACGATGATGTTGGCATGTCTAATCTTGGGATGGGTATGTAAGCTCTTCAATCATAAAAATGTGCAGCCACTGCAAACGTTGTTACTGGAACTGATAACCTTCACGTATGCCAGTCATGTTTTTTTTTTCAACTGGGAAAATTGCACTTTGTGACTCATTGTGAACCAACCTGATGTGCAGGGAAAGCATGCATTCATCAGAATCCAGATCAAGAGAGAAGAAGATGCTACAAGGTATGTATCGTTTGTTCTCTATCAGCTGTAAAAAAACCCTATGTTGAGCTGAACTATTCTCTGAATTGAACATATGTTTAAGAAAGCTGATGAACATAGACAAGTGATGCTTAGTCAAATACTGTCTTCCCACGCGCAAGAAAGAAGTAAGTCCCCTCTTAATCGTCTAGCTTCTCTTCCTTTGTTTCTGTGACTGTCAATATGATGATCTATCGTGTGAAACCGTAGAAAGCTAGAGGTGTAAAGGATGTTAATGGGACAGATAGCTGAGAAGGTAAGGCATCTAGCATACAGACTAAACTCACGGTACAGTCAGTCAAACTATCCTCCAAAAACACATTAAAGTAAAAAGCCATGCTCTTAGTTTAACGATATCATTGAGTGTAAATTTGTTCTCGAATGTGTTTACAGATCCAGAGGTGTTGTGCAGTGGACTACGATTAGGAAGAAGATTATGATGTGCTTTGTATATCTATGGAGATCTCACTGTTGAGTTGGTGAGTTCACTGTCACATAGATTCATTATTAGTGAATCTTATTGGTCTTCCAAATGGTGGGATGAGATAAGAGAGTAATCAGAAACTGAAACTCTTTATTTATTTTTTTAGGAATTTCGTGTGTACCATCTCTATCTTCATCTTTCTCATGATCTTCGTCTATATCGTTCTTAATCACTCTGTTGTTTACTTCAAACTGACATGGTAATCTAGACAATACTTGATATATGTACGGTTGATGTTCGGTAAATGGTTAAGCTCAGCTTCAGACTGATATGGTAATCAGCTTTTATAAAGTTTATTTACGTGTGATGTAATGGATTCTCCCCTTTCTACCTTTTCTTACATTTTATAAACCCCTCAGTGCTCTCTTTACTTGACAAAATGAACCAGATAATTTATTCAAACAATGAAACACTATTTACAATAAAGTCTTTGTTTTAAAATGGGAATTGATTGTATCAGAGATTTTGTTGAAAACATAGTGAGATATGTTCAGACAGACCATTTTCTTTATCAGCCTTATTCGGGGGTGAAGTTGCTTGCTCCACTAATCACATGATTACATATCATTTAGTTTAAACTAATCTTATAAAAATTTTATTCACTTGATACTATTTATATTCATCGACTGACAAAAGTTATTAATCATTTTATGGTATTAATCAGATTTGCCTTCTATATGAAGGGAAGTATAAAAGAAATTTATATCGATATGAATCACATCATATTACTTTTGCTCTATCCCTTTACAATTTTCTTATAAGTGGCACCAGGCTATTATAATGTATTTTCATCTACAACTTTCATATTAATTTTGTTCACTACTTCAACTAATACCATCTCCAATGTATTTCTCTATTTTTTCTCTATAATAGAAAAAAATCTATAAAAGAGGGAGTTTATTTCCAATGTATTTCAATATTTCTTTCTCTAAAATGAAATTGTTTTATTTTTATTTTATTTTATTTTACAGTTAACACTTTATAAATGTTTAAAACTAACCCATTCCCTATCTTTAAATTTTCATAAACGTGCAACATTATTTAAACTATATATTTTTTACAAAAGGACATTATACAAAAATAATAAAGAAAGCTAGACATTATCTAACCATCAAATTACTATACTTTTCATACATGGTCAACTAATGCATTCCAAAGTGAAAAAATGAGCTTTTTAGCTTAAATATTTTTAATCAACAAAATCAACAAGTTCCTCTTCCATCCAATTCGTTTGAGAAATATTTTTATGATCTTTAGGGATTCAAAAATAATTTACCGGAATATTGAGTTGTTACAGTAAGTTCAATCAATTAGTATTTAAGTTCAACTTATATATATTATACATATTTTTAGTCAAAAAGTATATTATATTTATTATTTTCAATATTACGTAAATTTCAAAAGTTCTAAAAAAATTAAATATATTTTAATATATAATAGTTTTAGTGTAAATTCATTCGCCCGTAGGGCGTGACAACCCCTAGTATAGAACTAAATTTTGATCCTCACTTTCAAAATGCGAGATTATTTTTAAAATAGAAAATTATTAACCCGTTTGTTAGTTAATAATCAAAATAAAAAAATCTATTTGTTCAACCAGTTTTGTTGTGATAAATAGTTTGTATATTCGATTAAATAACCCGGAAACGGTAATTGAAAAAGTTTTACTAATTAAACTTAGGTTAGTTTTAAAAAATTGACTTTTTAAGTTTTTAAATATTAATTTAAAATTAATTACAATTTAATAGGATCTATTTTAAAACTTCTTGTTAGTGCACATATTTAGAAGATTTATCTAATATCGATTTAAAAAAGAATTATTTTTAACTAAAAAATATATCAGATACTATCAATACACATAATTTTATTTTAAAGGTATATAACTCTGTCTTGTAGTTTTAGAAAGTTTATGGTTTGAAAGTTATGTTTTTATGGTTTAGGTATATATAGTTACGATTTTTTTTCTATAAACAGACATCTAAATGTAAATAATTATAATATAGGGTGTTGTATGATTTTATGGCATTAGTAATTTGAATAAATGCTGCTTCAGTATGATTAGACAATTGGACAATAAATCATGCATTTCTATTCGTTTAATAAATTTGGCCAAATTTTTAGAAAGGTTATAAAATTAAAGAGTGGCATGACATTGTAATTATCTTACAAAATTGAAGGTATAATTTTATGAATGATTCTGATTTAATAGTATAGATCTATTTATATAGAAAGAAAACAGCTATTAAAAACCTCGAATTTTCAAATTAAAGCTAAAAAACCTCTAACTCGTGTTTTAACCAAAGAAATTCCTTAACTTTTAAATATTGATCATTTAAAATATCATTTTTTTGTTGAATTGGCCATTAAAAACTTGAGTAGTCAACTGTTAAACTCGAGTAACAACCGTTATACCAATGCGATTCTGTTTTAAAAATCATTGTGTTTAAGAAAAATGCTAAATCGATTTCATCTTCTTCACTCGAAATCATAATCCCCAATTCAATATTATTTTTTCGAGAGGCAATCAAGATTTTCTTCATCGGAGATTGCCTCTAAAATCGATTTGAGGCAAATGAAATAGAATCATAGACTATTTTTGAGTGAGGAAGATGTAATCAATTTGAGATTTCTATAAACAAAATGATTTTTAAAACACCGTCGTATTGGGTATAGCAATCGTTACTTGAATTTAACAGTTGACTTTTTGGATTTCTTAAATGATCAAATCAATGAATTATAAGAGTTAACACGACTAATATTTAAAAGTTTGGGAATTTTTTTTAGTTCAAACATAAGTTAAATTTATGTTTTTGGTTTAATTTGAAAATTGAGGGTTTTAATGAATGTTTTCTTTTTATATATAAATTAGTGAGACTTGCTTGTCACGAATTTAAAATTCTAACAGCATCGTGGATTGGCTTCAGCCTGCAGATTTCGAAGTATTTGAACACCACTAAGTTAGGAATACAGAAAAATATAGATATATAAATAATATTCAGGAAAAGAAAAAATATATATACTGATTTCTAAATTTTATTAAAAAGTATGGAGCTCATTTTAGACCATTTTTCATAGAGAAAGTCATTTATATTATCTGGAGCTGGTACTTGGTATCTCTACTGGTAAAGCCTTCTGTTGTAAGGATAAAAATGCTAAATTCGAGTCTCAAACAACTATGGCGTAGAGATTTCACGATCGGTTCTTGTCAATGATCCAAAAACATGGATTTCGGTCTACAATTTTTTGAATTATAAAATTTATTCCAGTCCTACCCATTTCCTTTAGCCATAGTGGACAAAGACAACATTTTATGTTTTCACATTCCAGCAACTTAATAAAAAAACATATTTACAAAACTCGTTTTGTAAGAGTTTGCGTTTTTCTTAATAAAATATTTATCTTACCCGGAGTTGGTATTTTTTTAAACCTTATTCTCTAAAGACATAAATGCCAAATTTGAGTCTCAAGCAGTATTTAACAACTGGTTTTGTCCTTGGTCCAAAAAGATTACAACGCTCGTCCCAAATTTATTGATTTAATTAAATATTCATATTTATATTTCAGTTCTATATAAACCCAATTCCCTAGCCATCCCGTAGTGGACAAAGACAACATTTTATGTTACATTCCAACAATTTGATAAAAAAAACACATATCATTAAAACTTGAAATGGCACCAGCTCAAAACCCAATCAGTTCGAAACATGTGGCTGTGATCGGAGCCGGAGCATCCGGTTTAATAGCAGCCAGAGAGCTCCATCGTGAAGGTCACACCGTCGTGGTTTTTGAACGGGAGAAACAAGTGGGAGGTCTCTGGATTTACTCACCTAAAGCTGAATCCGACCCGCTTAGTCTCGATCCGACCCGACTCATAGTCCACTCGAGTGTCTACGAGTCTCTCCGAACCAACCTCCCGAGAGAGTGTATGGGTTTCAGGGATTATCCGTTCGTGCCACGTGAAGATGATTTGTCAAGAGACTCGAGAAGGTATCCGAGCCATAGGGAAGTTCTTGCGTATCTTCAAGACTTTGCTAGAGAGTTTAAAATAGAGGAGATGGTCCGGTTTGAGACCGAGGTGGTCCGGGTGGAGCCGGTTGATGGGAAATGGAGGGTCCGGTCCAAGAACTCCGCCGATCTATCCGACGATGAGATCTTTGACGCCGTGGTTGTTTGCAATGGGCACTACACCGAACCTTACGTCGCTACTATTTCTGGTAAAGATTAGTTTCTAATTGCTTTTATAGGGTTGCAAGTGATTTGTTTACGATTCTTTTTTGCCTTTAATGTTTTGTGCTTTATCTCCTTTTGGCAACTTGTTGCTTTATGGTTCGTCAATTAATGCTTCTGACATAAAAATAATCAAATTGTGATGAAAGTACAACCCAAGGGAATTTTTCTTAGCTATTTCATAAATATAAGCAACTTTTTGGCGTCTAGATCGGTTTAATATTCATCGATCGCGTGTTTGTATTTTACATCTTCAACTATTATTATTTTTAACTTTGTTAAATTTAAATGTTTCTTTTAAGAATTAGTAACAAAATTAAAACCTCTTTTTTGAAAAAACTGATTTTTGAAGTTTTAACACAAATTAAAACACACAATGACACAAATACATATTTTATTTGTTGATTCTTATTATTTAATTAATTTAATATATTTTTAATAATGTTTCACTCTCAAGGTCTTGGGTACAAGCCAAAAAAAATTGTGCTTTTAGCCCTACTTAAAATAAGTAATATGTGGCTTTGTTTTATATCTTCCGTAGACTAGTTGGTTTATTGTTTATGATTGATAATTTGTGGTGCTGAGATCTTGAGAAGTCAACTAAATTTTGTTGTTCCAACCCATTTGTGTTCAGGGATGGATCTGAGTCACTATTTTTTTTTATAATTTAGGGGTTTGATTGGTTAAGACTGAATTTTTAATTTATTTTTGTAGAATTTAAGATGTTGAATTTTGCTGTGGTTTTATAGTTTTTTTTCCTGTATTTTAAAAGGAAAATATGATTAGCAAACATTAACTAGAAAATATGAAACTCACATATAAAATTGTTTTCTAGAGTCTTGTTTCTATGTTGTGGAAATAATGAGGGTGATTGGTTGGGTTGTAAGTGCTGACTTTAGCTTTAATTTTTATCTACAACATTTAAATCACCAATTATGATTTATCATATTTTTTAAAGCTACAGCAAAAAACTAAAAAATGGTTGTAAAATCCTTATTTTCTAAAGCCATATTTTTTTTGCTGTAGAAAATATGCTGCTGTAGCAATAAATTTTAAAACTACATCTTTTACAGCTAAATCAAAAAATGCTACAGACTATTTTCTACAGTAAAATTTTTATAGCTACAGTTCAACCAATCATCCCATGTCTGCAGCCAAAAAAGAAAGGAAAAGAAGGAAACTAAATTAAATGGTAGGTTTTGAAAAATTTAAGTAAAGTTTGATTGGTAAAATTTTGTGGGTATAAGTTATTTGTGCTGCCTACATCAAGGAGAGCAAATACTAATCATCCTCTAAAATATCAATTTTTTTGAAAAAAAAAAATAGTGTTCTAAAAATCAATTTAAACATCTAGATGTCATCTAATCAGTAATTCGAACATAAACAAAACAAAATTTTCAACAATTTATTTAAAAATCAATCTAAAACATTAAAAAAAATTGGTCTAGGCACCCATCTAAACAATAATCTTCTATCAGGCATCAAACCACCGCCTAGCGAATGTATAAAATGATGCAGTTTAATGTTTGTATTTGAGAATTAGTAAAAACTAAACCTTCGATTAATATACTGTTTGTTTAGTGTATTTCTATATTTCAACGTTCCTAAACAGTAAAAACTTGATAACTCTCAACGGATTTTGGATTACAATTGCTGACATACATTCGGTAATCAAAAAACGAATTATCAATTTTGTGTATTGCCTGTATAAATTCTGAAAGGAACTTCATCAAAGATAACTAAATATTAAATATGTATATACAGGGATAAATTCATGGCCAGGAAAGCATATCCATAGCCACAACTACAGAGTTCCTGGTCCATTCAAAAATGAGGTAAACTCCAATATATGGTCTCTATTTTGTCAATATATATTGGTATTAGGACTGAGACCGATCCTGAATTATTATTTGGATCTCAAATAATATATATATTAAAAATATTACAACAGTGATTTAAAAAAAAAATAACCCACCACACACACATATTGTGTACTTAAGTGAGTTCTATAATAATAATTATTATTTTTTACAGAAAATTAGCAGTTTTATAATTTAATAAAACAACACTTATCATTATTTTTAGTTACAAAAGTTCAATTGATATTTTATTCATGTACGCAACTAGTAGACTGACAATAACAACTATATAGTCATAGTTATATAAAATAAAAAAATCATAATTTATTTGATATTTTCAAATAAAATGAAAAATTATGCTAACCAAAAAATATATATCATTTAACATAATAATATATAAATGACATGTTACAAATTAATAAATAAAAATCAGAGATTAAAATAGTTGTCAAATTGGTAGTTACCAAATATTTTAATGATTTTAGATGGAGGAAACAAGTTAATCTATGGGTATGTGCTATCAAATATTTATATCATTTAATCCGGACTGGTTAAATTAAATTTAATTTGAAGTCAGAAAATATTAATATATTTTGTATTTATATGTTAGAATTTAATAATATAATATTATCTTGAACTATTTGGCGAGAGATGCTATGATAACGACGTATACCCAGAAGGCCAGAAGGGTTTATTTGCGTAGTAACCAAATTTTTGTTTTCTTTTTAACACCTTTCGTCATGCATTGCTTTCGAACATAAGGAATACTTATATGCACATCCTTCATTATGCATACGGTAATAACATCAAAAGAAGCAACATAATCGTACTATGTTTTTTTTTACGGAAGAACAAAGTATAGTCTTGTGGAAACAGAATAAAATATATTCTTATGGCTCTGTAATTTACTTAAACTGATTCATCTCATAAATAATATTTAAGATAAACAAGTACTTATGATATACAAAAAGAAAAAAAACCATCCACCAAAAAAATCATCCACACCTTTTTTACTTATGCTATACAATTTTTTTATTTTTTACATGTCTATTTTTGTACCTTACTGTAACCAAGTATTTATGATATAAAAAATCATCCATCAAATAAATTTTGTAAAACGTTCGTAAAATTCTGTAGATTCATTTATGATATGCGTATTTTTTTGTGTTGAAAATTTGGCAGGTGGTGGTGGTGATTGGAAATTTTGCGAGCGGTGCTGATATTAGTAGAGACGTAGCTAAGGTCGCCAAAGAAGTCCACATCGCGTCTAGAGGGAGTGAAGCCAATACGTATGAGAAGCTTTCCGTGCCCACCAACAATCTATGGATTCATTCTGAGGTAAAGCTAACATTGTTATTTTTCAAACCGTGATTTTGGATTATCATGTTCAGCAAAATTCTTCTTAAAACCAAGTATAGATAAAAGTTTTATATTTTCCTTGTAGATAGAGACTGCATGTGAGGATGGGTCAATTATTTTCAAAAATGGGAAGGCCGTTCATGCCGATAGCGTTGTGTACTGTACCGGGTATGTTCAGTAATTATATTCAGGCCCCAATTGGTGTTCAAGCTTTAAAGACTTTTAGAGTATTTAACAGTTCTCAAAACTTTTTTCTAATCCAACCAAGCTTGTAGCCTTAGAATTTTCTAAATTCTTTACATGCCATTTTCATCAGTTTTATTTTCTAAATTCTTTACATGTCATGTCACTTTCTCTTACCAATTTTCTTTAGTATCTAAAATAATAGTCATAGTCTTATAGATTTTGATACCAACTGAACTTTCAGAAATATTTAAACTAACATTTAAAACTTTTAAAACCAAAACTTTTACAGCAATTTTTTTTAAAAAATTAAAGTTTAAGTGAAAGTCATTACCAATCATGGCTTTTTTTTTGCTTATATATATAGCGTGTGTGTGTCATGTATTTCCACCATATTTCTCATGTCTAGTTTATTGTCCAGGTACAAGTATAAATTTCCATTTCTTGAAACCAATGGCTATATGAGTATTGATGATAACCGCGTTGAGCCTTTATACAAACATGTGTTTCCACCCGCGCTAGCCCCAGGACTTTCTTTTATTGGTTTACCAGGGATGGTTAGTCTCAATATCTTTATTAGGATGATACGGAACTTCACGTGTCTCCCTTCGTTCTTTTTTTTTAAAGTGTCTCAGTTCGTTTCGACATCTATGATTTTTGATCAGGGCATACAATTCGTTATGTTTGAAATCCAAAGCAAATGGGTAGCTGCAGTTTTATCAGGACGAGTTACACTTCCCTCACCAGAAAAGATGATGGAAGATCTTATTGCGTCGTATGCGATGCTTGACGCGTTAGGTATTCCCAAGAGACATACACATAAGCTGGGTAAAATTGAGGTAAGCTCGTTTTGCATATGGTTACATTTATAAAATATATTGGTCTCGATTGTCTCAAACATTATTTGATATGTTTTTGCATGTGATTTTTGCTTCTTTTCTTTTAAAGCTTTTAGTTTATCATAAAATATTATCTTGCAAAGTAAAAAAGATTCGCATTGTGTGAGCGTTTTGAGTTTTTAGATTTAAATTTTCGGAAGAACTTTGGGTGTGCCTGGTAAATTAGTAGCGTTACAAGAGGCAAAAGCATCACTGTATCAGTGACTTTTCTGAAAAGCTTAGTCTCTCTTGCAGTCTAAGTACCTCGACAGGGTCGCAGAAGAATCTGGTTGCCCGCTTGTTGAACCTTGGAGAGTTCAACAAGTTGAGCGTGGTTATAAGAGACTTGTCTCTAACCCTGAAAACTACCGCGATGAATGGGACGACAATGATCTCATAGAAGAAGCGTACGAGGATTTTGCTAGAAAGAGGTTGATCAGTTCTCGTCCTTCTTATTTCCCCGAATCAGGAAGATGATATCCCACAGTGGTGCCTACTTGGTTTGGGGGTCTACTTGTATTATTTTTTAAAGAGTTGGTTTAATTAAAGCTGAATAATGTAAGGGTTGCCTGTTATACAATGGCTTCTATTTTGTTAAAACTGTCATATGATGTATCAAAGAAGCATATATGATACATGTGACATGACATGTTTTAGTGGAGATGGTAATAGTTGAAGGAAGATATCATGTACAATTTGGAAGAGACTAAACATGAAAAATTAGGAGGATCGTCCACGCTTGATTCTTTCTTTGATGTCGACTGAACAACAAAGCTCATTACATCCGGACAATCATCTAGTATACGGCTAGTGAGCTTGGATTCTTCATCCTGAGTAACATCGTTATACACTTCATCCAGGATTGGAAACATGATTCGTGAGAGTAGAGCCGACTTCACAGATCCGTACACAGGCTCATCGAGACACATACGGAACTGATGAACCATATCCTCTTCGCGCTGTTTTTATTTTTTTTATCTTCAGCCATTGTTTGGCGTTTTCATAGTCCTTCATGGACGTCCACAGATGTGTTAACTTCCCATAGTAAGCTTCTATGGCTATGCCATTCTGACGACAGGTAGCAAGTTCTGTCTTAAAACGCTGAAGTACTCGTTGTCCGAAACCAAACTTTTTCTGCGCCTTGAATTTCAGTCGTATGTTGGTGGCTCATTCATTAAAGTTAGGACTACGTATCATAGGTTGAGAGATCGTGAAACCATTAGAGAGAGATTAATAAAGAAGATTTAAAAGAAGACAAAGTTCTTTTTAAGAAACGAATAACAGCTTCTTCTGTATATAAAGTTATTGCTCTGTTACCTTATAAGTAAGAAACGAATAACAGCTTCTTCTGTATTATTATTCTCAAACGTATGAAGAGTTGCTTACACAACGCGTTAAATCTATCTTCCTAATTGGAATATACGAATTTGCCTTTATAGAATTAGGCATATATACTCTAGGAGGACTAGGAAGTTTCTTCTTCTACAGAGTAATGAGGCATCAATCCAACCTCTCATGGCTTATTCCAACCTCTGGCTATTTTCGAATGTAACAAAGTCTCCGAACAAGGTTGCCACTGCAACTGCAGAGGGGTTGGGCATAGCTACACAGCTTCATCTCCACCTTTTGTTTTTGCTGTTTATCTTTATTTGGGTATCTAGTGAGATATCTGCTCTCGTCCCTGTTATTTTAGCTTTTCTTTAGTCTCTCTTCCGTCGAATTCTAGAGTTCCCCTCCAGCCACAAGTCATCCCCGTTTCTTTCAAGACTAAATGCAATATAAAAGTTAAAAGAATTGGCATATATACATTGTTAGGTTTTAAACATTTGCCTAAGCAGAAACTTAGAATGAAATCAATATTAAAACTCTTCTCTTTTTCACTGTTTCCTTGCAAGAACAAAAGAGAAATCACAAGTTTTCCTTAAGAACCAAAACCTTAACAATTGATTCTCTTGTTCTCTCTCTATTTACGTAGCTCTCGTATTTTTGTCTTCTTTTGCGGATGCCTTTAAAAGCCTTGATCACCTCTCTATTTCTTTTGTAACACTCACCATCTTCAATATCATATTCCCTCTTGGCTTCATATCACGTCTTTGACCGACATCTTTGCCTTATTTGGTTTTGTACATGATTCTTGTTGGGCAAAGACAGAAGCCTTTCTCTCTACATACATTCTTGATATGCAAGATATTTTCATATCTTAACCATTTCTTTATCTGATTAATTATGCTATTATAAATTATGAGAAATATTATAAAAACGATATTATATCTATAATTCTATTCTTTTTATGAGGATTCAGGTCTGACTATATTGTCCTGAGTGGCTTTATGAGATCTATTCTCGACGATATTCATTGCGCCATGCTAAAAATCTGCATAATTTATCTTCTTTGAGAATTGAAACTCGGATCTCTTAGTTTAAAAACTACATAATCTAAAATTCAAACCACGGACTTAGATGTACAGTATTACCTCTTTAAATTAATACTCTATAAATTAATATACATTAAAAATTTCTATAGATAGTATAATTTTATAATCTCAAATTAAGTTTTTGGTTCAATTAGTATATCAATAAATTAATAATTTCTATAAATTAATAAAAATTATAGTTTTGGTGTAATTCCAACATTATTAATTTATACAGGTTCTACTGTAGAAGCTTTTAAAGTTTGACCACTAGTCAATAATGCTTCCACAATCTTAACCATACTCCCAATAATGTTTTTAATAATTAGTTTTAACTTTTAAAAATTAGCCTACACCTTAAATGTCTCCAACAAATTTAATGTTTATGACCGTGTCTCCAATTAAAAAATTTCTTAGATCTGCCACTGAAAATGAAGTTAGATAAAAAATTCATTTATCATAGTAAGGAAATTGGATGTGGACTGATATATGGTATTGCCGAAATTTCCGGATAAGCGATAAAATTACCCAAAACGCATAAAAATAGTTTAAATAAAAACTATATGGGAGTAAGAAAGGATCCTTTACCTAAGTGTTTATAAAGATGCATCTAATTATATAAAGAAGAATTTTCTTCCTACAGTTTTGCCACGTCACAAATTCACTTCCTCCTGAGTCGATAAGTGTCCAATTAATAAATACTTTAACATAATATGGGTTTTATGTGTTTGTGGCCCAAGATTAATTCGCTCTATGACATGTTGATCATGTAAAGTCAGTCTTTTGATTTACGACTTTTGATCTTCTTTTCATCAACCGAAAAACTCTGATTTCAGATTTATTCATTAACTACTATCTCGCCATCAATGCGAGTTCTTTTAGTGTAAGGCAGTATATCTTCAAATATAAAAAAGTAACTTTGTTTCTCTTCAATTCATATTCTCAATCTTTATGATAAGCTTTGAATAGCTTATATGTTTGTTACAAAAAGATAGAAGAACAAAGTAGCAATGAGGAAGAAGAAAGGAGAAATAGAGGTAAGAAAGAAATAAATATTTTTGATACGATAATTTTTTTTTGCTGTTTTAATATAATGTTATCAAGCAAAACAGGGTCGGAGAACTGCAACAGAGACGTCCGACCGCCAAGAGTCCGGTGAAACTTTAGATCTTTGTTTCACGAGAAAGATAAGCCATGTAGCAACACGTGGAGATCATGCTATCATTCTTATTTAATTTTACAGGTTTCATTGGGCTGAATGCAATTGTAAACTCTTGGATTTGAACTGTTTATACTTTAGATTAGCTTTTAAGCCTTAATACAAAAAGTTAACAAGGAAAAATTTTATCATAATTGTTATCAACTACATTCTTTTCAGCAATGTAAATACTACTAATGTAGCTAAATGATAATGTATTGCTATTAATCTGAATACATTATTTAATATAAAGTTATTTTTTTGGCACAGAGTATTTACTCCAAACCATCTTCTTTTTTTTTCTAACCACTTTCATTTTGATTCCTCCTGTCAAATGTTGTCCTTTTCATCTGTCCTACAAATGACAATGGTACTCTGAGCTTATCACTTTCTTAGTAGACTTATTCTACAAAGAGAAGAAGATGAAGCCTAATCTATGTTGTCACAAGTTCTTTCTTGTTAGGGTATGAAATGTAACCTCCGTCTGATCATCTCTCCCTCAATTCATTCGACGGAGTTATTAACAGTGGTCATGGTATGCTATCAATTCATCCACTTTCTCCTCATCAATCAAGTTCTCTAGTGTCCCTTATTAACCGAAGATACTGTATATATAATAATCAAGGTTCTCAAGCAAAATTACATAGATTTTTCGAACGAGAAAATCATCTCAAGTAAGAGTTAACAAAACTCCAATAAGAATTAAATATTAAAAGAAACAAAACGGAAATGAGAGTTAACAAATCAAGAATCTACATAAACCATCATCACAATTTCTCAAACGAAACAAATCAAAATCTGTTCCTCTATATATTGTCAAAATACAATAATATAATCTAATAATAGTTAATAATGAAAATATATTTACTATAATATTTCAGTTTAAAATAGTTGGTATAATGAAAATTTTTGGATCACTAAATTCAAACTTAGAGATTGAAAATTTATGAAAACCCACGACCAAAAATATATATAATTAAAGTTAGTATTTTTTTTCAATTCTTAATAAAAATAAATAATTATATTCAATGAAATTCAAAACATAACCAAAAATACATAATAATATATATATATATATATACACAAAAAATTCATAAGAATAAAGATTTCAAAAGATTCGGCGACAATATTGATTTTATGTTTCATCAAAGCAAAATCACCAAAAAAAAATGATTTTAATTGTTTTTGATTCTTAAACTTAAGCCCGAAAACTAACAAAATATTGAGGAAAACTACAAAAAAAGAAACGTAAGAAAAATACATATTTCATAGAGTAATGTAAAAATATAAGAAAATGTATAACAATCGTTTTTTAAAAAAAAAACTTATTTTCATGATATAAACAAAAGATTAAGTTGTAATTCAGATAATTGTGATTTTTGTAAAAAAACATGTTACATCATGAATTTTGATGACAATATAAGCTTAAATTCAATACATATATAAAATAAAAAGTATAGTCAAAGTTTTTTTAAACAATAGGAAGTATAATGTACTATTAAATTTTTTTAATTATTTTTGCTAATATTTTAAAAATCTGAAAAATAGAAAATAGTAAAGATTATTGTCACTTTAATTCAAACCAAACATGTTTTAAAAAAAAAATATGATTTGAAAATTATATTCAGTATATATTTGATTATTATCGTTTTCATTCTACAATCTTTTTAAAATGCTTCATAAAATTAATATAAATTTATGTAAAGTAATTCTTAATATAACTTTCGGCCCGTAGGGCGGGCCAACCCTAGTATTAATATATCTACTCTATTAAAATAGAATTATCAAATTTATCTACTATTTAAAAGTCATGTTAGACCATGTCATTAATTATTTAATATGACATTAGATTGTTACATTAACCAACCAATAAAATATTTATTATTTTAAAAATATCTTAATAATTAATAAGGATGTTAATAATAAATCAATTTAAATATAACAAAATCTGTTGAAAAAATCTAACAAGATTTTCACAAAATCTGTTGAAAAATATATCCGCACGGATGTGCTTGTGAAACTCTAGTTACATAGTTAAATCAAAAGTAGGCCCTTTAGATCGAAGAT